CAACTCCAGGGGACTTGGGATCCCGGGGATTCGTCATATTGCAGGCAGGGAGAACCGAAGGCAGCCAGATCAGTGGTCTAGATTTCAAGAGAGTTGATTCAATGAGCAAAGAGGTGAAGCAGGAGGGATTCCATGGATGGAAACCCCAAAGGGGAAAACATTTCAGGAGGGTTGGGAAAGTCTGAAAAATGAGAGAATTAAGGCCCAAACGCAATCAATGCTGAAGAGGGGGAAAATGGGAGACACCTGATGAGACTGGCGTGGTTGCATTACAACCCCTCTGAGAAACTTAAACAAAAAGAACAAGTTAAAAAACTTGTAAAACAAAAAACAAAACAAAAACAAAAGCAGAATATCAGGAAATAGCCAGAATCTGTAAGGATGGGGGTCAGAAAAGTTAAGGCTCAAAGTGAGTTGAGGCCTGCAATGAATGCCAAAAATAACAAAACAGGCTTATTTGTGTATGTGCAGAACAAGAGGAAAGTTAAAGCAATGGTTGGTCTGCCGTTTGGAGAAGATGGAGAAATGGTGCTGAACAATGGTGAGAAAGCTGAACTGCTTAATTCCTATTTTGCATTTATCTTTTCGCATACAGAAAGCTCCATCACGGGGAGCAAAAGAGAAGTGCAGGTCAAAATAGGCAAGGAAGTGGTGAGAGAACACCCAGCTGTTTTGGGTGAATTTAAATCTTCTGGGTTGGATGGATTATATCCCAGGGAGTTAAAGGAACTGCTGGATGTATTTCAGAATTACTGACTGTCATCTCAGAACCCCTGGAGAACAGAAGAAGTGCCAGAAGACTGGAGAAGATCTAATATTGATCCAACCTTTAAAAAAGGGAAAAAACTGGACCCAGAAAACTACAGACTAATCGCCTTGGGAATACCTGGGAATAAATACCTAGGAAAATCCTAGATCAGCAAGCAGTAGGCTTGCAATATTAAGCAAGGAACAAAGTGATTACCAGAAGCCTGTGTGAATTTGTTAAAAATAGGTTGTGCCAGACAACTATCATTGCTTTTCATGACAAAGTGACTAGAGTAGTAGACCAAGGGTATGCTGCACATGTAGTGTACTTAGACTTCAGGAAGGTATTTGATAAAGTTGACCACAGCATCCTTTTTTATAAGATGGAATACAGTGGGATGGATGGTCTCACTACCAGATGGATTTGTAGCTGGCAGAACCACCAGTGCTCTTCAACATTTTTCTAAATGACTTAGATGTGTGGATAGAAGGGATGCTCACCAAATGCGCAGATGGCATATAGCTGAGGAAGATCACTAACACCTCAAAAGACAAGTTCAAGGCTCAATAGGATCGCAACAGGCTTTAATACTGTACTCTGTCTAACAAAATGCTGTTCAATGGCAAGAAATTTAAGGTCCAACACTTATGTAAGAAAAATCAGATGTGCAGGTACAAGACAGGCAATACCTGGCTTGGCAGTAATACTTATGGGAAGGATCTGGGTGTCTTGGAAGACTAAACATAACCCAGCAGTCTGTTGAAGTTGCCAAGAGCCAATATAATCTTGGGCTGCATCCACAGAGTTATAATGCTGAGATCACAGGAAGTGATATTTCCATTCTATGATGCACTGGTCAGACTGCACCTGGAATACTGGTCCAGTTCTGGTCATCACAAAACAAGGAGGCTGAGGAACTGGAAAGAGTGCAGAGAAGAACAATGAAGATGGTGAAGGACTTGGAGGCAATGGCCATGGCAATCCCATGAAGAGCAGTTAAAGGAACTTGGTCATGTTCAGCCAAAAGAGAAGGCCGAGGAGAGACGTGAAAGCATACTTGAGGGGCTGTCACAGGGAAGGAGTGTGGATAGCTCCTAAGGGCAGGTTGAGAACCAACAGGTGGAAGCTTACAGGAGATAAACTCGAAATAAGGGAAATCTCCAGACCGCGGGAGTTAGGAAGCAGTGGAACAGCCTGCTTCCTGGAATTGTGGGAGCTCCATCACTGAAGCTTTCAAACAAAGACTGGACAGTCATTTGTCTGGAATGGTCTGAGGATTCCTGCCTAGGCAGCGGGTTGGACTAGAAGACCTCCATGGTCATAGATGAGGCCACCAATTTGCACTGTTTTAAAGGAGTACAGGACATGGTATTGGAGGGTCAGGCTGTGCGTGGCTGTTCACTGTTCTCCAAATCAGCACTTGGTAGTATACTTCAAACACTAGCTGCTTGGAAGGGATTGTGGAATGGACTTGTCCCTGCCTAGTGGCATCTGCTGCACTGCTGTGGGATACGCTTGGCCTGATTCAGGACAGATCAGGAAAAACCAGCAGTGCTATGCTCTTCCCTATGGCCATCCCTGCTCCCACTCTCCCCAACCCTTTGTTCCCAGGACCCTCTCCAAGGAAGCCTAGTCCCACTTTAAGGCACCAGAAGGGTCCACTGCTCCCAGCAATAGGTCCAGGGAGATAGCTCACCCATGGGGGAAATGCTAATATGGGAGACAAGGGCCTTTTCAGTAGTAGCACCTCCATTATGAGAGCCAATCTGGTGTAGAGGTTAAGGCATCAGGCTAGAAATCAGGAGCACAAAGCCAGCTGGGTGATCTTGGGCCAGCCCTAGGAAGGAGGCAAATGGCAAATCACTTCTGAAAAAACTTGCCTGTCCAGGCAGTTGCCGAGAATCGGACATGATTGAATGGATTAAAAAAAAAAAAAAAACTCCATTATGGATTCCAACTCTAAGGGAGACCTCCCTGCCACTCACTTGCTTCTTCTGGGCATCAAATACCTTGATTGGTTATTAATCCATAACAACATCTTGCTGTTCCAGTTTCATGTTGTGTTGCATTAATCAATTAATGCATTGATTACTTTATTCTTACTACTGTGACCTTCACTGAGAATATGCCATTGTTCAGTACAATTTATTAAATATATAAGCCAATTAAATCTTTTTCCCAGTCTTGAACAGGGAGGAGAAATTTACATTCAAAACACTTTAGGAGTTAAATAATTTCTTTCCCATTTAGTTGTTCATTTGTATCCTGCTTTTCTAATTAGCTTGAAATAAATACCTTTATCAGGGGTTTTCAAGCATTTTTATTTCAGACTATGGAGCCTAAAATTTCCTGATCGAGAGGCAAAGCTCTAGTGATAAAAAAATGGATATCTGCAAGTGAACAGTCTCTCTCGGAACCTCATGTATGACTCTGGGAACCCTCTGGTTCCGTGGAACAGAGTTTGAAAAATCCTGATCACTACAACCAGCTCCGAGCAGGGCAGTGTTAAACGATACCACATCCCAGATAAACTATCCCTGAGCAGCGTTCAAGGGCTAATTTGCGGCTGCACTCAGAAGCCAAGCATTTAGGAGGATTGCAACAAATGGTCTTTTTATAATTATGGGTAATGACTGGCCAGTAAGCATTATATATTTGGAAGGAATTTTTGAAGAGCAGAAGTCTGTCTTTGGCCTTAGGCCCTTCCAGTTCAGAGAAGCATTAATAAGAACTCTCCACTTCAATGCTAATTCAAGTATTAGGAAATCCTGCTATTTTACACCAATTTTTGGTGGAACACCCTGGAGAACTTTTGGACTCAAACCCGCCTCCGTCTTGAAAGCCCTGTAAATTGGTATCAGGAACTTTCTCTTGGAAGATTCCAATGGCAAGTTATATCTGAGAAGATACAAAAAGCTCAAGATTTTTCTAATGGACAAACTGAACCACAGCTAGTTTTCTATTCTTTAACATGAAAGAGTAGATAAGATTCCCCAGCCTAGGTCTTCATAATGACTTATTTGCTGCATGCCCTCACAAATGGACTACTTTAATGGACTCTACATGAGCTGCCCTTGAGGACCGCTCAGAAATTACAACTGGTCCAGAACGCAGCTGTGAGAGCCTTGATGGCCCTGCCTCATTATGCCCATGTGAGCCCACTGCTCTGCAAGCTGCACTGCTTACCAGTTGGCTTCCAGTGCAACTCAAGGTGTTTGGTTATCAGCTATGAAACCTTTCATGGCTTAGGCCTGGTTATTAGAGGGTCTGCTTGTCTCTGATTCTTTCCGTCCATCGGGTGAGAGTGGGCAGAGTGGGCATGCATCTAGCAGACCCAGGAAGCGTGCTGTCTGTGTCACAGCACCTGCCCTCAGCAATAACATCCCCACAGAGGTCCAACAGTCCCCACTCTGACGATGTTCAGCAAGACCTGGTGGAGCCCTTGTTAGATAGGTTTTTTATGTATATACAGTATGCCTGTCTTTTTCTGTTTAGTATGGTTCTTACAGTTTTAACCATAAGGCACCCAGAGTTGTCAGGTGGCCTCTAAATTGTAGGTAGGTAGGTAGGTAGGTATAAATAAATAAATAAATAAATAAATAAATAGCCATTGCTGTGGTTGACTTGCTTTTCTTTGGTAGTAATCTGATAGATGAGAAAAAGATATTACTCGATCCGAGCTTTTCTTACTTTCAGTAAGTGTATCTGCTGTAAGACTCCCAAGAGGTAAGGAAGCTTTAAAGATGAAGAGATTGGGGTGTGCCCATAACTGGCACCAGGCACAGACACAAAACTAGTGTCTTCAGCCAAGGAGCTCATAGGCCAAAGTATAAAGTAGCATATCAGAAGTAGGACAAGTCTAATTTCTGCAAGGTCACCTTAAAGACACTGTTTAAGTTCACCAAGCCAGTTTGGCATAATAGTTAAAGGTGTTGGACTAGGAGCAGGGAGACCCAAGTTCTACTCCTCCCTTAGGCACAGAAGACAGCAAGGTAACCTTGGGCCAGTCCCCCTCTGTCACCTCTAGACTGGGAAATAAAATTAAAAAAAAAAAAACTCTGCAAGAAGGTGCTGTCAAATTACTCCTGAAAACGTTGCCAAGAAAACTGCATGGATCTATGTAGTCAAGTCAGTGAAGACTGACTTGAAGGACAATCTTACCCAAGTATAAAGTTCTTATGGCAAGAGAGGAAGCCAACAGCAAACTGCTACCAAAAAAGCAGTTCCAGAACTGTGTTACCACCCAGTCCCCTGACTGGACAAATGGACAGGGCAGAGAGCAGGGGCTGCTTAGGTGGATCAAGTTAATAAGGGAGGAGGAGGATTTGGAAAAGCGTGGTCCCTGGCCATCAAAGGTCCATGGCAGCATGTTTTACATCAAACCTGGAAACCAGCAGGCATCCAGCAACATTCAGCAAGGCCTGGCATGACTGTGCCAGTCTCTGGGTACCAGACAGTCCAGGAACAGCATCCTGCGTGCCCTGAAGTTCTGGAGGGCTTTGAAAAGAGGCCCACAAACAGAAAGTTGCAGTAACTGGGGCAGAGGTCACAGAGTCAGTCAGGGTCATCTCGAGATGTTCAACAACCTGGCTCAAAGGACAAGATGGACCTCACTGTGGTTTTAATAGGATACCCCATTTTTTGTTCCTTATAAATGAATATCTGGATTATCTGAAACCCGCTCTGAATAACAATGTGCAAACTGTTCCACTCTCAAATAGCTGTTTCAAAAGTTCCATACTCAAAACAAAACACAGATTCTGTTAGTTTTGTTTTAAAGACAGAACAAAATATATTTTCTTGTTGCTGTTTAAATGTTAATTTTATTCACACAGTTAAGAAATCCTGATAGCCTTTCTGCTGTTGTTGCAGTCCGCAGTCCTCCCATTCGCAAGCCAACATCAGTAAAGTGCAAATGAGAAAGTGGAGTGATAGTGCCTATCAGAAAAATTGGCCAAGGTGATTATTTTACTAATTGAAAACATTAAGAAAACATCATTCGGGTGGAAGGAAATATAACCTATACCTGTATCCCTTGTTTACCTTCAGGCTGGGAGAGGTGCTAACTGCCATTAAGGTGTTTACTCACTGCTTTAATTTCAGATTACAAGATGGGCTGTTTTGTTCTAAACTTGAAATAAATACATTTTACGTTTTCGTACCCCCTTAGTTTTGAGTCATGACTGTCAGAATGTCAAAGCTGCTTTCTGCTGAGTAACTGGCAAAAATGCAGAGCACACATACAATGGGGTCTTCTGCTCTGAGTAATCGTTGTGTTCTTTAGCTACTTCCAGGCCCACTTGGAAACAAGGTGGATACACAAGTCCTGATGCAGGGCTCTGATGGCGGCCTTTCTGTCAAATCCCCCCTCCCCACGGTGTCAATTCTCAACCAATCACATCCCTTCCTTCTGCCCCCTCTCCCACCCCAGCCTTACCGGTTGCCTGCTACGTCCAGTACGTGCAACTCAGTGGTGCTCGCAAGCTCTGGGGGCAGCAATTCCAGGCGGTTGTCTCGAAGGGAGAGCACATTCAGGCTGCTGCAGCCCCCAATCTCCGGAGGAAGCATCGTCAACCGATTCCGGTCTACATTAAGGTTTGTCAGCTTGGTGAGCTTCCCCAGAGACCTGGGGAGGGTCTGAGAAAAGACCATATAGGTGTGGAGGAATAAGACTGACACACCTGGCAGATCAGCTAGCTGACCCAAAGGGTGGCAACCCTAACCCACAGCAGGCAGAGCCAGCTTACATGCCCACCTGTAGCAAGTTCTCCGTGAGGATAAGCTCTGACAGGTTTGCGCAGTCCCCAATGGCTTCGGTCGCCTCCGTGAGACGATTCTGATCTACCTTCAGGATGGAGAGCTGCTTCAGCTGGCCTGGGCAAATGTCGAGAGAGTACAGATGACGCTGCACAACAAGGGCCATTCCAGACTGGGTTCAGTGGGAGTAGGCAATCGCAAACTCTTTTGGATTTTTATCGCTCTGAAGAACATGGCGTCATCAGCATGGTTCACAGAGCTTAATTGCAGATGACAGAGTTATCTGGGAGCAGATTCCTTGAGGAAAAGGAACCTGCCTGGGCAGCAAGAGACCTCCCATTCCAAGAGTCGTTGGCTGGAGCAGCCCTTCTCCAGTGCTCCTCTCAAGGTATGACATGTGCTCACTTGGGTGTCATACTCAACCATCCTCTAGGATAGAAGACCTTATTAGCTTAATAAAAACCATAACTGATTGATTTGTATCATGCTTTTATGGCCAATGCTCTCATTTTGACTCTTAAGCATCCTAAGCCCTCTTAGTAGGAAAGTGTGATATAGATCAATGGCACTACTAACAACAACAATAGCAGCACCAACTTTTAACTTTATAAGAAAAGCTTATAACGTTTTGGTTTTATTAAGGTCTTTTCCAAATCAAGAATTTCTCTCTCTTGCCTTCCCCCCAGCAAAGCAACACTCCCCAAAATTCTGCACCAAGGAGCAGCTCCTGAAGACTCTCCCCAGTTCCAGAAATGAGAACAAAGAGAAAGGAAAAGCAGATTTAAAAGCCAAAGCCAAGTCAAAGATGATGCTGTGCGGGGACGGCTTCCTTGTTTCCAAAGCTCCCTCAGAAGCGTCTCAAAAGAGCCACCTCAAGGATCCAGGGCCCGAATCCCGCCCGCAGCCACACTCACCGATGCCATCGGGAATCGTCTCCAGCAAGTTCTGTGAGAGCAGCAGATCCGTCAGCACCACCAACCCACTGATCTCGTCAGGCAACTGCTCCAGCCTGTTCTCAGAGACATCCAGGCAGACCAGCCGGCGTAGATTGCCCAGCTCCTGCAGAGAGAGGCAGGCTGACTCTGGCCAATCTAGTGCCCTGACCTGGGCTGAACTGGCGCACCAGTTCTTCCAACGTGCTGCCGTCATTTCTCCCACATGTAACAAATGAACACCCCAAACAATTTCGTGCCGAAGCTTCCACAAAGCTGGCTCCGCTGGGACAAACAATCCTGCCTTGCCACCCTGGGGCTGCCCCGCTAGGGGGTATAAGTAGCACCTTACCCTCCTGCACGCCCCACAGCCTGAGGTAAAGCCAAAAATAAGCAAGGCAGCAGCCTAATCGGATCAGAGAATGTCGTCCCCCAGCCTTGGAAGTCTGAGCGCAGACGCCATCGCCCCACTGCCCTCCCTCCGCCCCTGGAGGCGCTGGAACTCCCTGACAGCAACACTGGCAAACAAAGCCTAACCTCATGCTTTTAAATCTGAGGTTTTTGGTTTCACATGGCGTAGGCAGCCCAGGGCAAGCAAGGGCACGGCTCAGAATTTCCCCATAATCTTACCCCCCCAATAAAAAGTCTTTTTCTAGTCTATTCTTCCTCAGAGAAGGGACCTTCTTTTAAGTCCAGAGTCATCTTCCTTTGGGTCAACACAGTCCATGTCCCTTCCCCTATTAACTTCAGGGAAGGGGCATGGCTTACTGGACAGACACCGATGTTTACCCCACAAAGGCCAGCAGAACAGAGAACCTTTCTAAGGTAAAAAGCTTGTTTTCAGGCAGATGAAGAGACCACAGTGGCCAGGCAGAGGGGTGGCTGGTCTCCTCTAGGCAGGACAGAGTCTCCCAAAACCGAGAAGGCTAGTGAGAACCTTTTGCTTTTGATGGCTCTTGGTCGCAAAATCAGCCAAGCAGTAATCCAGCTTGAATGCTTGCTGATCCTCAAGCCCAAGGCCTGAAGACCAGAAGGCAGGAAGGGACAGGCTGCATCCTCCTTCCCTCCCGGGTGCCTTCTCTTCCGCAGATCTGAGCTGGTCCCCTGGTTAGGGGTGGTGGGGAAGGTGGTGACCCCCTGAACGCTGTCCAGAAAACCCAGGGAGAAGGGGGTCAAACATGGGCTGAAACCCACTTGGAGCCACCCTCCACTCCAGGGCAGGGCTACCCTCCTGCCTTGCTTTATCTGGGGCTGCTTGTTTGCACTGTGCAGCAGCACCACCACCATCACCATCATCCCCGGCTTCCCCACAGGTGGGGAGGGAAGCCAAAGCAATCGACAGCTCCCCCTGAGCAGCATGAACACTGCTTGGATCTGCCTCCACTTGACCACCAACTGTATCTCTGGATCTCTCTTTTCCTCCATGTTTTTCGAGATCAGCAGTCATTTTTCCATCCGCTGATTTAGGGGGGAAGTTGCACACTTACAGTGGACAATCAGCTATTCCGAATCAGACTCCTTAAAGGATCCTCAAATCATCTGGACCTGAACATTTGTTAATTCTTAATTTGCCTGTAAGGTCCTGTTACTTTTAATTGTTTCAGTTTCCTCTGAAACTGAATTACACAGACATCCACCTGCTATTTCCATCAGCTAAGGCACATGGAAAGAATTCACTGAGTCTTTGATTTTCTAAATGGTACATGTTAACTTTCTCGTCCTCCAATTGTCCAACTATTTCTCTGGCCAATTTCTTGCTTCGAGTAGGCTGATTTCCTCCCACGGATTTTTTGCCACATGCTCTTCAAATACATTTTTGAACCCTTTTGATATCTGCATTTCATTTACAAACTCTGTGTGCTCATTTGGGCATGACTTCTGTATCTTCTGAAGGAAACCCTCATGCTAATTTCCACCTCATGCTAATTTGGAGAACCCTTTCTTCATCCAAAGTAAAGGTTTGAGCTGAGCCTCTAGCAGGGTAGCTCTGAATCATTTCAAAGTATTTCAGAGAAATTTCACTCTCTTTCTCAACCTTTTTTTAAAACAGAACGCTACATTTTGGAAGCCTGCTCTTTTGAAGTTCAATGCAATTTTGCTGGACGCAAAGGTTCCCCCCCCACCGGCAATCATCCTGACATGTATATTGAAGGCAAGACCATTACGTTCCCTGTTTCCAAACAATGCTTGGACAGGTTTCCAGGCACTGCTTGGGATTAAAGCCAAACCACAATCCTCTGTTGGCAGCTAGACTGTTACAGACACAATAAATTCAGGCTATCTAGAAATTCTGTCTATTGGAACATCCACATGACATCTCTCTGGGCTATCATGGTAGCCCAGAGAGACGTCATTCATCATTACTATGCTACCAGTTCACAGGCACTTCTCTGACTCCATTTTCTACCTGAAGATCACATAAACCTCGCTGTTCAAGGTGTCAGTGTACCCCCAAGTCTACATTTCTTTGTGGCACTCATTCCCCAGGATTATTGGTGGACTGGTCAGTTCCAATACCAACTGTGCCCTAGGACAACCATTTATACTCATATTTTGCATCCAATTTTGAAGGACAACTACAGATGTCTAGTCTTAGGCCCAACTGTTCCAGAGTAGCTAGAGACCTTGGTAAGGGCAATCGAAAATGTCTTCATTTCGAAGTCCCCATGATTCCATTCCCATCTCAAGCACTCTGCTTTGATGGATCAATGGCTCCCCGCTGTTGCCCAGCATGAAGCTTCTACTTAACATTTAGGCTTTCCTGAAATTCAGAGCAACATCCCCACCAGCAGATCATGGGAATGGGGAATCAATGATGGGCTCTCACACACTGGTATAAACTCAGTCTGCTTTACTTTCCACTTTGTGAGGCAGCTTCCTGCTCTAGCAGCTTCATTTTTTGATTTTTAGTAAAACAGCTATGCATAAGTTCTCTGGTCCATTTACGACCGGTGTGGGTATTACTTCTGGAACTGATCTCTATCGTAGCCCATGCTTGCAATATTCCCAGCTGCCAAGAGCTCTCTATGCTTGCCACAGCCTCAGCCCTGAGTCCCTGACCACAGGCGCCTTCCCCTTGGAGCCACCCAGAGGGGAAGCCCCTCCACTTGCCCCCTGAATCCTGCCAGAGGCACCCAAGGACACGGGCCAAGGCTGCTGACCTGAAGACCATGGCACGGGTGGGGAGAATACTTACTGGGGGCAGGCAGGAAAGCTGATTCCTGTCCAGCCAGAGCTCACGCAGATTTGGCAGTGCGCCTAGGGTATCTGGCTGTGAAGGAAAGGAGCACCACATCACTCTTGGCAGCAAACCCCCTCCTGGAGCCCTCCAGACAGCAGCTGCACCAAAGCCTTCACAACTAGCCCAGGCTGCTCAAGGGAGCCTGCTGAGAGAGGGGACTGAAGTAGGCAGTGGGCAGGGCATTCCCAACACAGGATCCGGGGCAAAGAGCACCACCACGATCTCTGGTGGGAAAACGCCGCCCAGCCAGTGGGTAAGGCCAGGAAAGGGCCTGCCAGGCGAGGGACTGGCCAGGAAACAAAACAGGTTCCCTCCCACACACACACACACAGCCCCCTTACCAACACTTCCAGGTCATTGCCCCCGAGGTCCAACTGCTCTAATTTGACAAGGAAGGAGAGTGAACTGCAAGCCAGAGAAAAAAGTTAGGGGCCTTGGGAGCACAGTAGGGCTAAGCGTGACAGCAACGCCCCTCACCTCTGAGGCCCCCTCATGCCCCTCAGCAGCCCTTCCCGAAAGGCTTTAAAGCACAGAGGCTAAGCTGCAGGCCGGAAGAAGCTTGTAACAGAGGAACACTCACGCTGGGAGGGACTTCAACAGATTTTCACGAAGCTCCAAGGTCACCAGGTTTGCCAAGCTGGGCGAGAAAGGAGAACACAGATTGACCAGCGTGGGCAGGAAAACAGTGGCTGATGTGCCCAGCTCCTCCCGGCTCCTCCAATGCCAGGCCAACCCTGCCTGGCATGAACTCACTTGCCAATGTCAGTAGGCAGACTCTGCAAAGAGACGTCATTCAAGGCCAGGTGGCCCAGACTGCGCAGCTGGGTGAAGCCCTCAGGAAGCCTAGGGAGAGAAGCAGAGAGACCCCCTGAGGGCTCCACATGGGTGCACAGAGCTTGGCAGATGAAACCCTTTGTGACAACTGGCCTTTGGGGGCATTCAAGACCCCAGAGGAGAGGGTGTTAGCAGAGCTTGGCACCTACCACTTCCACCTCTCACAGTGCAATTTTAACCCTCTCAAATTCTGCCTGTTTGGGGCAGGGCCCCTCTATTTCTCTTAGAGAGCATCCCTACAGCAGCCCCAAAGTCTCTGCACCAGTGGAACTTCCATTCTCTCAAAGTCCAGCTGGCCCCTTTCTGTGCTCTCCAGGTGTTCTCTGACGGATATAATCTCTGGTCACAGAGGCACTTTCAGAATGGCAGTGGCACACCCCATCTTGGCTGCTTCTCTAATACCTGGACAGGGGGTTTCCGCTGAAGTCTGCAATCTCCAGGGACTTGCAGAATTTGATGCTCTCGGGAATCTCCGGGATGTCTGGAGCACAGCAGCAAAAAGGAAGGCAGAAGTCAGGCCACGGAGACAAGCTCGAAGCCGGGCCATGCCCAACCCCCACCCCAGCACGAAGGCAGGAAGACAGACAACAGACAACCCTAGATATTCAACCACGTGCAGGGACAGCTGGTGCTGAGCTGCTCACGGCTTCGGCCCAGAAGCTCTACCCAGGTCCCGTGGCCTGATGCCCACAGCAGGGCCCAGCAAATGCCAGGCAGCAACCTCTGCAGCGCACAAGCACCAGTTACCCACCGTTGCGGGAGATGTCCAGCTCCACCAGTTGCATGAAATTGGCTACCTCAGGAGGGAGGCGCTGGATCTCGTTGTCGCTCAGGCCCAGTCTGCGCAAGTTCAGGAGTCGGAAGAAAGGCTGCAGGGGGAGAGAGAGGAGTTGCTCACGCTGTCAGCAAGGGATAGCCCCAAGCGTGGTCAGCCTCCATCTCCAACGCACCCTCCCTCTGAGGTTCTGAATCTTGGATCCGAAAAAGTGTGACTAGGGGTCTCTTGCTCTTCTTGGAGCAAGCAAAGGGGCAGCAACATCTCCACACGCTCTAGGAGAGACTAAAGGCAACTCTGCGCTGACCAGAAGGGATCTGGAGGGGGCAACAGCACAGAGGTGTGTTGGAACCTAGTTCCACCCAACCCTAAATACAGAAGAATGCATCAACAAGAGCCCCCCCCCGGGGGCTCCACAGAGCAGAGGATGCCCTTCAGACCATCAAGTACAACCATCTGCTCAAAGCACAAATTTAGATTAAGGAACCCCACATTGAGAGACGGAGAGCCCACCACCTCTCTGGTCACTGGCTCCACTGTCTCTCAGCGTGTGCTCTTACTTTGAGGAAGTTTCTGCTAACATTCAAACAGAATCTCCCTTCCTATAAATTAAATGTTCCACATTCTGCATTCAAAGTCCATCCGTAATAGTAAAATTAACAGACAAAAGAACCAATCGTCCACTCTTGGTGCATAACCTGCAATCTTCCCTGCTAAACACAAGGACCCTGGTCTCTGATACATTAATTTTTTAGTTCCATGCTGTTTGTTGCATGATACAATCTATCTAGCATTCACTGTAAATCATTTCTGACCTCAGCCAATAACACAGCATCAACATTATAAAAGTATACACACACATTCATGTCCCCAACCAACACACTTCTAACAGCACAAGCATTCCGTATATATTTATCCATATATACACTGAACAACCAAGGGGATATCAAGACCCATAACTTACTCCATGCTCAACGTAGAACTACAAGTAGTCCTTGTTTAGCAACTGCCTCCAACAGCGACCATTCAGTTACGACAGTGATGAAAAAGTAACTTTGTGACCAATGCCCACATTTACGACCTTACCAGAGTCTCTCTCTGTCATGTGTTCACCATTACAGTCAGTCAGTGTGTGTTGTCCTGGGCCTGGCCCATTTCCCCCCCTCCCTCGCAGAGTGGAGAGATTGCTTAAACAAGCCATCTCTTCCTGAGCTGCTTTTCTCAGCAGAGCAGCACGTCCCTAAAACGTGCTAACTGCAAGTTAACAAGCTCAGCTCTGTGAACCTTAATTAGTTGATTAGAACCTGACACTGACAAGACCCTAATCAGTTTCACACTAAAGCGTTTTGTTTGCCTTCTAAGCCCTAGTGGCTCACAACTGCCAGGGCTAGGCAAACAGCCATGCCAGCTCATTCCTTTCCATGTGTATTCCCCACTATGTGGCTATTTACTCTCTTGTAATCCCTTCCTCTCCAATCCATGTAAATACAGACATAAATTCTCTTCTTGCTAATTATCCCAGTGCAGAGGTGAGCACTTCCAAGGGCGGGGGAGTAGGGGAAAAGGGCTGTAAGATTTGCCCCTTTACCCAGCTTCCTCGTGATTCAAGTTCCAAAAACCTTCCCCGCTGTTTGGGCTGACCCGGCTGTTTGGGGTTGCATCTTTCTGATGCTGTAAAGCAAAGGAAAGCCGAAGTAAAACTGTAAGCGCAGTTGCAGTTTCACTTAGTGAATGCGTCGCTTAACCACCAAGTTGCTGGTCCCAATGAATTAAAAAGCAATAAAAATAACGTTAAAAAAAAGTTGCTGGTCCTAATTGTGGTCACTAAACAAGGACTACCTGTATTCGCCGAGCGCTGAATTTATGTCCATCATATACCGCTCTTATTCAGCAACCAATTTCCAACTCCACAATCATGCCCAACATACATAATTCAAGCCTACTTACCTTGCCATATGCTGTTCCTAAAAGAGCAAAACTTTCTTTCTCACCTTAACACATACTTTGACTTCAACTAAGCATTCAACGAACTCTCTCATGAGGCCCTAGCAGAGAAGACAATAAAATGATGGCTGGACTATGCCCCCACTGGAACTGTACGGAGCCGACTGAACAGCTAGCCTTAATGAATGTCCATCACCAAGCCTGCTTCCCTTAATACATATTCAGCATACGGGCTGAATAAATAAGGGGAGAGCATTCAGCTTTCTTTCATTCCTTTGCTGACCTGGAGCCAGTCTATACTGAACCATTGTTTCCTGACCTGTCTATGGGTATTGCTTGAGGCCCATGAGATGTTCTGGGATCCCATTTCTCTGAGCACATTCCAAAGTCTGGCACAGTCAACAATGTGATTAATTCCACAATCAATGAAGCGCATATTGATTTCTTCTTAGCATTCTCTGGCTTTCTCGATATTCCTGCACGCATCAGCAATCGTGTATCATGTTCCTCGGCCTTTTCTAAAGCCACCTTGAACATCTGGCTTCTCCATTTCCATGTTGGGGTCTAATCTGGGTTGGATGATCCTAAGCATTATTTTGCTACCATGTGAAATTAAAGGCAGAAGAGAATCTCTGTAGCTCAGGGTTGAACTGTGGAGTCCTTGGGGTTCTCTGAGCTTGGTTGAAACGTTTCATTACCCAACAGGTAACATCTGCAGTGCTTCAACGTTTCTCCTTCGTAGTTCCTTGATTAGGGTATTGTTTACTGCTTGATTGTTTGTCTAGTGTTCCTGCTTATCTGGGCATTGATTGCTGACAAGGTGGTGTTCTGGTCTTTTTGTTTCCTTTTTTAGCTTTCT